GGTCTAGTGGAAGGTGTCTCTGCCCATAGCAGGGGATTGGAAGGAAATGAGCATTAAGGTCCCATCCAGCTCAAACCATTCTGGAATTCTGGTTTTTTTGCTGAATAGTGTGATGATGAGATTAATCCAGTTCTGACAGTGGAGATGCCAGGCTTGGCTTCTTACACCTGCATTTCCCTTCTCTGGGCATGTTCCCACTCATGCAGGAGCAGCTGCCCAGCCTCACAGCTCAGCCTGCTGGGAGGAGTAGTGTGAAGGAGGCAGAATATCAGGATGAATTTGATCTGCTGTTAACCAGCCTCTCACTGGTAGATCCATCTCAGCAGGATCTGTGTCTGGGATAAGGGCTGTGACTCCTGGAGTGTGTCTGGACAGAATCCATCCAAACCTGCTGCTCCTACCCAGGGATTTGGAACGTGTGAAATTGGCACAAGGTTGTGACACTAAAGCAGAATTGGATTAGGAGAACTAACGTGATACTGGTTTTTCTTTCCTTTCTAGTGTGAGAAGAAGGTGAAAACGACAGTACTGACTGCTGCTCTTCTCCTCTCTGGAATCCCTGCAGAAGTGATCAGTCGCTCCATGGACACCTACAGCAAAATGGGAGATGTTTTCACAGACCTTTGTGTCTATTTCTTTACTTTTATCTTTTGCCATGAACTTACTTTGGTTTTTGGCTCTGAAACACCATGACAGCTGTAGAATTCCACACAGTAGCTACACTAAAGCTTTCTGGACTCTGTTCCTTTTAACATTTGACTGTGCAGGCAGGTCTTAACCTTCATGGAAATTCTTACCTTTGGAATGCTTGAAAGGGGCCTTAAATCCAGACATTTTGGGAAAGGGAGAGCAGGGTCCCTGACTGCCAGTTGTGTTGGTTCAGTTTATTTAAATCCTGTGTCTGCATATTACAAATGTGAAGGTTAGGATGCAAGTGACAGTGGATGATTTGTTTTAGTTGGATGATGTCCTTCCCAGCCTCCTTTGTAAACATTTACAAAGCTGCCTTTGTTCTTTTCAGTGAGAACAGGAAGAGAATTCCCTTCAGCAGAACCATATATATGTGTATATCCTGTATGACTGTAGCTAACAAGACCTGCTCATTTTGTGGTGGTCCCATTTTTTAAAGAAAACTCTAAAGAAAAGAAATCCCTGTATTCTCTTCAAATGTTCAAGTTCAGAATGTTGAACCAAGTAGCTGCTTCTGGAGAATGTTGGCGATGAAACTTGCCACTTTGTTGTCCTTTTCCTTGCCTTGCCATTCATTATTTGTTGTGATTGTGATTAATTTAATTTGATGATTGTTGTGGAAAAGAGCTAAGCAAAACCAACAGCAAGAAGGTCCTGGTGCTTATAAAGGTCATTAATCAAACACTAAGAAGAAAGAGAACTAATCACATCTGTTTGTGAGTTTCCAGCAACCTAATCCTAGTGCAGCTCACACCTGTGCTTTTTGATACTTTTTTTTATATTAACACTTATCTCATGAGTTTTACATATTGGCACCCAACCTGCAGTATCAAATCTTTGCTCTAGTGTTTGTAAAACTTACCAGGGAAAGCGTTTTGTTTTCAAAAACAAAAACTTTGTTTTCTCTTAGGAATTTTGCACAGTGAGAGGAAGTGTCATTCCAAATAGTCAACTTGAACACTACTGATAAGTCTCTGAAAATCTCTATTGAAGCTAAATTTGGTAGTGTTTTCAGCTTGTAGTTTTCTGTTTAAAATCTGGACTTTCAGGTAGTGTGGGCTGTTGCCTATTTTTAGTATTGGTAAACTACATATTTAACTTGGTATTTTTCTGTAGAAATTATTTTTAGGGAGCAGATGTATTTAATTGTACCTCTCTAAATGGCCCAGCTTTCAGCTGGTTATTCTCTGTTAATGCTTCCTCCTGTAATTTTAGTGATGCATTTCTGACTTTTAAATGAGATACATGTTTGTGGCCTCAATACAAGAACTTTATGTTTTGATTTGACCATTTTCATGGGGTTTTTTTAATTGGTTCTGTTACAGTGAGTATTATATTACAGATGTACAGGGCTGGGTTGCAGAAAATTCTGACTTAGGTCTCTTAGCACAGATATTGATTCAGCAGCTTTAAATTTATTTATATTAGATAGTAATTTCAGAAAATTGAAATTACAGTAATTTAAGATAAGGCTGAGATATGTAAATAATGAGTTTGCTCAAAAATTACTTGTTCTGATTCTCTATTTATATGCCCAAATGTAATACAAATAAATTGGAAAAAATCCCTCTACCAGTACCTGTAAAAAGCTATGAATTTTTAATGCTTACCATTAATCAGGTAAATACCCTTGCATTGGCAGAGCACTAGGAGGAGTGCTAAGAAATCGAAGAAATCTCGATGAAGAAATGCTGATCAAGAAACGACCTTTGACCAAGAAACCAGTCTCTTTTATTCCGTTTTTAACGTACCTCTGTTGGTGTACATAGTTCTGTTTCATGTTTATTGCCGATGGGTTTTTTTCTATTAAAAGCCAGTTTGTTACCCGTTCCTCGGCGCTGTGTGCG